TAATTAGTGCCACAGTACAAAGTTCTTTACAGAGAAACTTCAGAGGAAACAGGGAATTTACAAGCCTGTAAAATAAACTGTTTACCACCAGAGCTTCTTACGGTGGCAGCTACTACTGGGATGTTTTCTAAAAAAGAAAAAAAAAAAAAGCTGATCCTCATGTGTGACGGCTAAAACAGCATTAAGTTAAATCGTTCAAATCAAGATTTATGAGTATGACGTTTCTAGTGTCAAGGAAAAGATATTGAATCCAGGGAGATTTTTTTTCATCCGTGTACAAACTGATCTTTTTTTTTTACATAATCTTCTCTGTCAAAATTAAACCTAAAAAATGACTTGGAGGACAAACCAAAAAAATCTGTTATCTAGTGACTAAGTTTTACATTCTGACTACAACCCTGAATGCCCCTTTGATTCAGAACAAAACTGCTGCCGGGCGCACTAAACTTTGCTGTGACTAGATTATGACAAAGATCTGTAAGTGACAAACACCATCAGCTCAATGCATCTACATGCTGGGGGCCCTTGGCCTGCTGTAACCACATCCTCTTTCCAAAGTACAAGAAGGCCTCATGCTGATAGGATGGAAAAAGGAGTAGCTAACCTTACTAAAATAACCTCTTCCAGTCTCTGTTCCCGTTCAAGACTCAAAACTGCAGGCTTGCTTAAAGAGAGAGAGGGAGGGGGGGTTTCACAGCATGTAGATAACCATCAAACCTGGACTATAAGATTCAGGGTACATGACCATAATCTATAATTAATAAAGTCGACCTGCTGTGTGTTTACAGTGTGAGGATGGAGTACACACCTTTCCTGTTTCACAACACTCCCCCTCCTGCAGCAGAAATAACTTTACAACCAGCTGACACACACATTGCTTGGACACAGGCGAGAGAAAGTAAATTGCAGCTCCTGGGTTATCTCACTGTGGATCTACCTAATTTGCTTACGGCGGCAGCATATGCTTATCACTCCAGGTCATGCTAAGTCCCTGCAATCTGTGGCTGTGACTGTATAACCCACAGAGCTCCGTCGATGTGTGATTACTGACATGTTAGCTCCCATAACATTAATCAAATTCCGGTCAAATCATAAACCCCCGCTTACTGATAAATCCTCTAAAAAAAAAAAAAAACACCATAATCTTTAATCCAGCCATCTGAGAAGGCGCGTATGTCCGTAAACAATCCAGCTTCACGCCACTAAGTCCCGTTATCAAGCTTGTTAGCAGAAACGCCGCTAACTAGCTAGCTTTAAGTGCTAGCTGCGGCTAAGCTAAGCTAGCCGACACATTCCCTTCTTTTTCCTACGGGCGTACAAACCCCACCGAAAAAAAAGAAAACACACACACAGCGATGTTGTCGGAAATATAACGCAACCGAGCGCGTTTTACATCAGCACAGACATCAAGTTTTCCCCAATCACAACGCATTAACAGTGAATTCAGCCGTAGAAAAGACACAGCATATTGCTAAACGTTACCTGCCCTTCCGCCTGGCCTTGACTAAAATGGGAGTGCTCACACACACACACACACACACACACACACACACACACGCACACGCACGCACGCACACACGCACATGCACATGCACGCACGCACGCTCCGTTTTTTTTTTTTTTTGTGTGTGTTTGCGGATCATTTATTTCACGTGTCCGACCTCTTTTATAATGCACGCTATTCCACGCTGCCCGGGTCTGCTTATCATCCCGTATGTACCGAGGCGAAATGCTCCGACGTAAAAACGACTTATTTGACCGTGTTTAAGCAGGTAGTAAAGTTTTGGTATTTCCACTCACCGTTTTCTCGCTCGCTGTCTTTCGCCGCTCCGCAAGTGTCACTCTGCCTCCGGCCTGTGTGTGCGCAGCAGACGTCACTCCCGACTGTTTCTCACTTTTTCTTAAAAGGGCATGACACATCGGCCACTCCACCGACAGTCATTTGCATGATAACGGGTTGCACAGAAGTGATGACTTTTTTTTCCGGAGGAATACGTAACATTAGTAATGACACACCCTTTTTCATTCACTGTTAGTTAATATATTTCTTACCTACTCTACATTTGCTTCCAGGGATTATTTACACAGGATGTTGTAAGAAAGTATTAGAGCAAAGAGTTCACTTGTATGAGAGTTGATAGTGCCCAAGTTTACAAAAAAACCCCAATGAGTACTTTTTTATTTGTATATAGTAGTTTTCTGTTTGTAATGTTATAATTAAGTTTTAAAGTAATCTCAAACAGGGTGTCAAGTATGTCAAGATCAAACCCAAGTCATAAGTAACAAACTACTTTAAACTTCATTTGCATTTGCAACTGAATACTTTAGTTAAAGAACCACATCATTTTAAAGTAGAGCTCTTTGGTTATAATCCTGTCTTAAATGTGATACACACAAATCTTGACTTGTCTCAGTTTAATTACACACCCTTTTTCATTCACTGTTAGTTAATATATTTCTTACCTACTCTACATTTGCTTCCAAGGATTATTTACACATTCTCCCTGAGGAGATAAGACTCGCAGATTCCCTCAATTCTTTTAAATCCCTTCTTAAAACATACTTTTACAGACTTGCTTTTATGTGATGTCGTCTTCTTAATGTCTTTTCTTACTGGTTTTACTATTTTTATCTTCTTTTACTTCTTACTGTTCTTTTATTTATGCACTTATCTCGTATTTATGCTCATATCTTAATCTCCTCTTATGTTTTAACTTGGTAATTTCTTATCTTACTTACTTTGTCTGTTTATGTTTCATATTTATATTTACTTTTTATTTTTATTAATATTATAGTTTTGGGTTTTTTGATCCTTTAACCACTTGTTTCTATTTCTTTTCCTGCTCTTACCTTCTTATTGCTGTTATCTTTTTATTTATTTTTTTCAGCTCTTTTAGTTTCTTAAATGTTTTAAAATCTTTGCTCCTCTTGGTCTCAGCTCTTGTTGTTGGGTTCTTGTGTTGCCTGGGTTCTTATGATGGTTCTTGTGATGGTCGGGTTATATATGTCTGTTGGGTATCGTGCACTTTCTTTCATTCTTTTCTGCTGAATTGTATTTAATTATTCTTAGTATTTTGCATCTGTTATATTCTTACTGTTGTTTATGTTCTTCTGTGTTTGGTTTAGTTTGCTTTGTTCTTGTTTTTGCTGTTTGTCAAAGCACTTTGTAAACCTGTGTTTTTAAAAGGTGTTATATAAATAAAGTTATTATTATTATTTAAAGGATAAAGTAGGTTACTAGTACTTCTGGATAGGATATTGTAAGAAAGTATTAGAGCAAAGAGTTCACTTGTATGAGAGCTGATAGTGCCCAAGTTTACAAAAACCCCAATGAGTACTTTTTTATTTGTATATAGTAGTTTTCTGTTTGTAATGTTATAATTAAGTTTTAAAGTAATCTCAAACAGGGTGTCAAGTATGTCAAGATCAAACCCAAGTCATAAGTAATAAACTACTTTAAACTTCATTTGCATTTGCAACTGAATACTTTAGTTAAAGAACCACATCATTTTAAAGTAGAGCTCTTAGGTTATAATCCTGTTTAAATGTGATACACACAAATCTAGGCTACCTAACTACACATTTAGTCCTTTGTTGATTTTAAGTTAGGTAGGTCTACAATTGAAATAATTAGTCTCACCATGATATAAAACCGTGTATGGTTAATTTAAAATATTCATGCATATGTTCATGATATAGCACTTACGTCCTATGAGTAGTAGTAAGACATTATCCAATTATAGGTCATGGACAGAATCATCAACATTTTGAATTTCCCTATACACATCTGTATTTCATATTTGACTTTGTACAAATATAGCTTAAGTGTGTGTCAAATCTTACAATTAACTTGTTTATAAACATTTACTTGTTTAAAAGGCTGGCTTTGGAATTGTTTCTATTTTCGATTCACACCTTATCAAGGCATGGCAAGAGTTAATCTATATGAGACATTTCATCAACAAAAAGTGCTTCACACATGGGGAAAAAGCAACACATAAGAGGAACATATTTAAAATGTTTAAATTAGGCAATAAAACACAAAAAGTAGATACAAAATAAAGATAAAACCAAATGAATAGGAAATACAACAAGTAAGAAAAATAAGAAAATAAAATAAAATAAACAGAAGCTTAATTATAATTAGCATATCATTCTAAATTTGGATCCTTCTATTGTAATAATTACACTCTTGCTCTCCTCCTACATTCCTACATTGTTCTGCAGCTGCTGCACAACCACTTTTCTTGAGATTGTCATTTGAATTATGAATCAATGTGTGTACTTCAGGTGCAGGTCGGACTTGAACCCGGGCCGCCCACTTGAAGGACTATAGCCCCTGTACATGGGTCGCAACCTTACCGCTTGGCCATCTGGGCCCCCATTATGTGTGACTGTATATTATTAAGAGCTATTAATGTTTGTTAATTAATATACAGGTTCACCCATACAAGCTAAATTGCAACAACAGTAATCATCCATTGATTGATCCTTTGAAAGTTTTACTATTCATTTGTAATAAGACCATAAAATTCTTTGGAAGTCAGGTCTCAATATTTTCTTCCAATTTTCAAAACAAATTCCACCTCCGTCATGAAATGAACAATGTCGTAACCCACATATCAAATGGTGACATTAAGAGTGACACCAAGGTCTCTTTGACCATCCCTCCATCGTCCTTCACCTGTAGCCACACACAGCAGGCTTCAAACTGATAGGAGGAGTGTGACACAAACAGACAAGAATGTGAGAGCAAAGTGCTCCCTTATGTGGTTTCTGTCAACACATCCTAACACAGACAGTAAGACACATTTGGCTAAACATAAAAGGGCTGCACTGGTCTGGTTATGTTGGCGAGGAGTACCCTCTAGTGGGGATAAGCAATCATTCCGAGGCAGCAGGGATTGTGGGTGATGAGACTTGTGCAGTTAGTAATGAACATGTTTTACAATCTGAAGCAGAACCAACATCACACATCTATCAGAACATAATCAGACACATTTTTTTACAACTTACGTCTTTAATTTTTTTTTAAATCATACTACAATCTGTCATACAGATTGAATACAGTATGCATCAATCCCTTGCTTGAGTTTCTCCATCATTTGTCCTGCCTATGCCATCCTCTGTCACAGTTATAATCACTCCTTTGTGTCGAATGTAAAAGCACTGTCAGACAAAATAGAAACACTCTTTACAACCCAAAATAAATAAATCACTTTAAAACAGACTTATATCCTAGGAATAGCGTTGTTTCTGATGAGTGTTTGCCTTCATAACCCCGAATAAAATCAATAAAAGAAACAGGCCAGCAATCTGTCGACGGCGAGCCCAAGCATGACTTATTCAAAGCAAATAAAGACTAAGTGGATACAAGAAGAAAGCCTTTACTGTATTTACACATATGCTATAATAATATATCATTCATGACGTTCAATGTGTGACATGGTTTGCTAAATTCAACACTATCCAGACGCCGTCAGACTTAAACTCCCTCTTGTTTGGGCTACACGCAGTAGCAGAAATATATATATTATATATATATATTATATATATATATATATAAACACACCTTGTCCTCACAGACTCTCATTGACAAATCTCATTACATTTCTGTATTTAACCAGTGTTTGTTGGAACAGATGCACATGACAAGGCTGAGAATGGCAAAAAAGGCAGATCTGTACATGGCTCCTGAAAAAAGAAAAAATCAAGATGAGATTTGTCCTTCGCCCCTCTGACTCAGTCCATGAAGTTTGGTTTCTTTTGTTTTTGACGTGTGGTGTTGAACATCTGCATTTCTTCTTTACAACCTCAGCAAGGAATTCAAAAAAAGGCCTAGTGATCAAGAAGTAGCGAATCCTCTCTCACTGATATTGTCTGTAGTCTCCAAATGGAGCGGAGGGCATTGGAGCCGGGGTCGGTTCCTCTGCAAACTGGGGCCCTGCAGAGAGGAAAAGAAAAAAGGTAACCTTCAGTTAGATGACAGCAGCTGCTGAGAAGGAAGAGTGTTTCTGACTTATGAAATCAACCAAGTCTTTTCTCTGACAGTGCAATTTCCTTTTCATCTCCATGATACTCAAAAATACATTTATTTTTAGAAAATCTTTTATAACAGACTTAAAAACTGCATTACAAACACGTTAAACTCAGTGGTGAAGTGATGCCTAAAAAAGTGGGTATACTCTTCTTTTTTTCCCCAAATTTCTTTTTTAATTGGCCCGTCCAGCAGAGGATAAACAGCCTCTGTTATAATCAGTGACATGTAGGACTACCCCTATTTAGTTTGTGTGTACTAGTCAATGAGAGACGGAGTACGGAGGGTCATCCCTTCACCATCAGGGAAAACAATTGCAGCATACGACTTAATATTGTCAATAAATCAATGGTGTAAATCAGAGATTTAGAATTGGGTATACTCTATGGAGACTGAAAAACAAAACAATTGGGTAAACTCTGTATACCTGAGTATACCCTGCACTACACCACTACTGTACAAACAGAACAGGAGCATAAAGATGACCAGAAGAGTCTGGTCATTTCATGTCACAAACAATACAACATCTGTGACTGTACTCACCAGTTGGGAACTGTGAAGAGGCGAATCTAGTGAGCAAGATGCCGGCGCCCTCTATCAAAGCCAGCAGGATACCGCCCATAGCTGCAGAGCCCACCATGGCTACTGGTCCGTCTACAGAGGAATAGGGATTGTTAATGTTTTACACACAGCAGGACATCAGTCTACTAGAATCAACTGTTAAGTACACCTGATTATTTCTTCACTAGGGTTTAAAAAATATAAAATGTCCCTTTTCTTTAGGGAGTTAAGACATCTTGAAGCCCAGCAAGCATCTAAAGGTGCTGTTGTTGTTGCTTATTCTACAAAATCAAGGTCGAATAAACGTATCCAGGTAAGGTGGAGCCATTAACTAGAGTCCACTGAGAGGTGAAGATGTGAGTTTCTCATTTATGAAACCGTTTATTACTTTGTTTTGGTTTTAAGACCACCGGCTCAAACAGTTTAATGTCTCTAAAGTATAGTAAAAAAAAACAGTAACACTTTCGCAGGAGGAGATTCTTATAATGTATAAAAATGAACGAGCTGATATGGTCCGGTTTTAATGTCTCTAATTTCAAGGGAAGTAAGCCCACTTTGAGCAATCTAAACTTTCTGTAATTTAAAGCAGACAGTGTCTTTTTGAACATCACATTGGTTCCTAACTTGCTAAGAAATGTGAAAATATATCAGCTTATACAAATCAATAAACATGTACATGTGTAGAGAAGGTTAAAATGCAACAAAATGAACTGAGCAGAGAAAACATCTGGGTGAATTGACAGTAGGTATGTAGAGTTATATATTCATTTATGTTCATAAATGTGGACTTAACTGTAAACAAGCCCTTGTCTTGGAAAATGAAAAGGAAGAAAAATATTTATTGATATGCATACATCGATCTACAGGCTTATCATATAAACCTGTTCGGTTTCAAAGAGTTCAGACACAGTTCAGGATTAGGAGAAATAACGGCAACAGAAGAGAAATTGAGCTGTGGTGTGACGAGATCCAGGGGAGAACTCGGCAGGTGTGGTGGTAAGTGGCCGGTAAGTGAGGGAACCTGATCTTGTGTGTACTGAACGTAAGTCTCATATGGACCTGAGCGCCATCATATCTCCAGGAACTTAACCCTCCTGTTGAAAATGAGGGCAAAGAACTACAGCATTTGTCATTGTATTGTTTTAAAATGATGTAGGCCTATAATTATGGAGTCATCACTACCATATAGGTTCCTGCTGAATGATGTGAGTTTCCTTTTTATGAGTCACAGTGTGTAAAGTTCTTCATACGCTGTAGTTTCTAAATGAAACGAGTGAATGAGTCCCTGTTCGGCTTTTCAGACATCTTTTGTGATAAGATGTTTCTGCTTAAAACACCCTATATCCTGATATGGTTCTTTCATATTAAAGGCCTTTAAGCTGAATACTACCTGACTTATATTGTCAAGAATTAGTTGGAAAGAAAACATGTTTATTATGTGATTAAGTGGGCTTTAGTGGAGCTACATGTAGCAGTGTTTATCAATAACACTGTAGAGAGTGACAATATGTACAGCCACTCCTCTGACCACGAGGCATAGCCATAGCCTGCTTCCTTAGAGGAGTCAGGGCTGCCTGGCTGGTAGATTTAGAAAATTCACCCGACAATGCACAAAATCTACCGCATCTTGCTGGTGCTTATTTACAACCCTGTTTGTGAGATGCATGAACAAAGTTCCGTCTCTTCAAATGCACAAACTGAACAAAGACATGATGGCTTGCTCCTTTCCTTTTGCTTTCAGAGAACAGTTAACTCAATGTCCAGTCAAGCTAGAATTTGTACAGCCTGCACACATGCAGTGAATGAGAAACAACCAGCTTTAAGCTCTCGCACTGAGCAGACATGTTTAAAAATGTGAGACATATGAAAATGTTGTTTAGACATACAGTATATTGAATACTTTCATGATGCCTTGGAGTGCACTCTGTAATTTTGATAATGAAGTAGATATTATTCAAGTCAGTGAGAAACAGCAACACCACAGTTTTCTTTTTGTGTTAGGGATGTGTGTGTGTGTGTGTGTGTGTGTGTGTGTGTGTGTGTGTGTGTGTGTGTGTGGTCTGTTGACAGTTTACTGCCAGCTTCTTCAGGGCTTATACTCACTTCTTGCAGCCAGGATAGCTCCTGTCATTGCCCCACTAGTAATGGAGTTCCAGGGATCCTCCTTCCCTCGTACTTTTACTAAACTACAGTCGATCATGGAGAAGAGACCTCCCCATACTGCAAAGCTTCCTGCGACACAGAAAAAGATCTAAATGAGTTCAACAAGAAACTGCCCAGACATGCTGTACACTTGACTCCGTTACATATGCTTGACTTAAATATGTTTCTTAATAATTAAATACTCATAAAACTGTGAAAGCTGCATCGACAACTGATAAGACCAAAGTACTGTAGGGCTTGGTATTAATTTAAATAATCCATTTCTACTGGCAGTGATCACTGAAGCAGGGAGAGCACAGACAGACTACAGTCACACCATATCTGCTTCTTACAAAGTTCGTTTTGTAGTCTGTGGTCTGTCTGTTGCAAAGTGTACAACCTTCTATGTTGTTGCTCCCAAAAAAATAAATAATAATAATAGAGACGTCAAGTCTTACCTCCAAGCTGTGGGGCTCTAGTCTTGATTGCGGTCAGGCTACCTTTCATTCTGTGGCTCATTCCCTATGACAGACAGCAAACACAAGCACAAATCAATATACATTTGTGCAGAAAGTAATAATTTCACAATAACAAAACGTAGCAGGCTAGTGGTATCTTCAATGAATTTTATTTTTATTTAACCAGATAAAGAACCCATTGAGATCAGGATCTCTTTCACAAGGGTGACCTGGCCAAGAAGGCAGCAGCACACATCATGAAAAAAGAAAAAAAGGCATGCAACACGTGTTGAACGTAAGCAAACCAATACATCAAGAAGTAGTGGTCCGCTACATGTCAGAACTTACAGAGGGAGAGTTCCTGAATCCTTTAACCGCCTGGAATATTCCTCCACCTATTGCACCCATGGTGAAGGCGCCCCCACAATCGTCCACGATCCTCCAGGGGCTGAAAGCATGAAAAAGTATTAGATTAGAAGAGGTTTATTGTCATGAACAGTTTTCATAGACACCACCATGCTAGAAATGTGCACAGGTGCCAGCCAATGTCATGACCTCTGAGGTCTGTGGTTGCAGGTTCAGTTTTGTTATGCCCATGATGTATGGATTGGAGAGCACAAAGCGATTGTAGAGGTTTGGTGATCTCTTATTGTGTAACTTAGTACGTACATGGACCTGAAAGCTTTCTTTGATCTAAACTTTAAGTAGAACTTGGACATTTAAATCCAGCATACTTGTTGTGACATTACATGTGTTTGTCTTAAGTTACCAACGCAAAGATAACCAAACTAATCAGTTAAACCACTGAATGTTTTATTTTCGTTGAGTCCTATAGTCACTTGTCCAACCAAATCTGCACAACACATGCTTTTGGAGCTTGATGATCACACTATGTACCACTTTGTCTACAATGAGCTACATGTGATCCAGGACGGTCAGAAGCAACCCAAAGATATAAAAGCCCCAATAATCATACACTATAATGCCAGATTTGTGGTCGTAAATGTTGCATGTCAGTGACATTATTTATGATGAATGACACTGTCCACGAGATATCCGTCTCAAGCTGATGTGCAATCCTCCAGGTGTTAGCGCTCAGGTGGCTAACTTAGCTCAGCATTACCAGAAATCCAAAGCAAATACATTTACATTTAAACGCCTAAAATTATAACAGAAGGCGTTTTATTTTTCACTGTAGCTCATGTAATTTAAATGTATGACAGAGTGCTTGAAGTGGGTGAACAGGATCTTGTGACATGTGGTGAGTAAACCGACAAGGTCACTAGCAACGTGATTTAGCACAGATGCTAGTGCAAACTGCATGTAATGTTAGCATGTGTGCTAACGCGAGGTAACGAGCCGGGTGTTTCAGGGTTATGCCAAATGTTGAATCATTAAAATAATCACTCAAGACTGTCACGGCGGAATATTACAACCGAGGTACGAATGTATCTAAGCTTTACACAGGCTAAAAATACAATGTATTTGTCATAAGACTCACCATGGCTCTCTGGCATATTCCTCCATTTTGTTCTTTTGCTGTTCCCTCTGACGTAACCTTTTTTTTTTCTGTGACGTAACGCTGACGACACACCATGCCATCTTAAAGGAGCAGTTCCTTTGTTTTTAAGGAAGAAAACTTGAGTTTACTTGCAGGATAAACACGAACATTCTTGCAACATTTGGACATTCACTTTCATTACAAAATGTGAGCGAACTCCAGATCACGGTGTATGTCATCCTATAAGTGATGGTATTTCAGTGTCAGTATGAGTTTTGGACTTCAGGGACTTCATACTCCCCAGCACAAATTATTGACAGACAGTTTTTCTGCGGCTACCTCAAGCTCAAGTGTTTAAAGATGAAGCCAATGCAGAAGTGCAACATCCTGCAGTTCCTTGTGTGTCCGCTTGAGGCTGGCCGAGGAAGTACTGGAAGTCAAATTTACATCTACAACATTATAGAGTTTTAATTATAATGTCAACAAAGAGTGTGAGGACGAGATAGAAAAGTGGCCACTTCTGGAGCACCTGCATGTTGTTGATTGCGGCATGCCAAAAACAGTTAATGCTGTGTTGATATCAACAGATTCGCCATTAAAAGTATTTCCTCAAGGCAGAGGTTTCTATGACACGTACATGTGGGATAACTACGACGGAGGATTAGGGCCATGTTAAAACTTTTTTTTTTTTATTTCGAGATTAAACTCGAAATTTAGCCTTAAATTTACGAGAATAAAGTCGTAAAATGACAAGAATAATCTTATAAATGAACGAGTTCGAGACCAGCCTGCACAAAATGATAAAAGTAGAAGTATTTTCCTCTGCAGACAACTTCCTCCAAGTCAGTGTGGTTCTTTCTTCAGTTTCTTGCAGTATCTTTTCAAGGTGCAGATATTTTATGACAATGTGGAGATGATGATGTGCCAAAAGCATGTGTAGTTTCATATCTGTATAAGTAAAGCCCCAGCACAACTATTTGTGTCTGATATCGGTCTGCCTTGTTAAAGTGTCTCATGTGCAGAGCCAGTTTGTCCTGTTCATCATTTTACAGATAAACAAGTTTCTTGCAAATTGAAGTGAAAACTTCTCTTGAACTGTTTTTACCGACTACACAAGGATGCAGCCTATTTCATTATTAGTGAAACCTTTAGGACAAGATGCTCCATGTTTGTCATTTGAGAACAGGATGCTGCTGCTCTTCTGATATAGACTCGTGGCACAGTAGGGTATCAAGAAAGCCATATCATATACTTCACAGGTGGTGACTGGTTTTCTAGATACAAAATATAACTGAGAACACTCAATCCCCAATTAAATAGAGAGAAGACATCATGAAGAGCATCATAGCTGTGGATGTGTAAAATTGACACAAAACTTAAAAAGAATATTCAAGTAAAATAGTTTAAGCTTCAGATTGTGTTTCCAGATTTTTCAACAATGCCATCGTAGTTTTACCCACCATTTACGGGTAACACCACTGAATTCTTTTTTTTTTTTGATTTATTCTTGGGCTTTTTGTGCCTTTAACTGAGAGATAGTGATAGGCAGTGGATAGATTCAGAAATCTGGGAGAGAGAGTGGGGAATGGAGCCACAGGTGGGATTTGAACCTGGGCCGCCCGCTTGAGGAGCAAAGCCTCCATACATGGAGGGCGTGCACTAACCACTGCGCCACCAGCGCCCCAATGCCACTGAATTCTGAACTCAAGGATATGACTTGATGAAATGCACCCTGGAGTTGTAGTAAACGTCTATCCTGTATGACATTGATATAGTTCTTCTCCATTTCATAAAACTGGACAAATTTCTCAAAATCAGACTGCTACACACTAAACCTGTGTTCCAGGAAAGGGGGGTCAACTGGTGCCCATCAGCTTTCTTCTTTGCCCTTGGGCCCCCTAACAGTTTAATATGGCCATGCTTTATCGAAGGATGGACATAAATGTACAATTATGTCAAAGGCCAATAAACTGCTGCAGCATTTGGAAATTATGTTAACATTAAACAAGAAATGTGTCCATTGAGTTACTTTCTACTTTTAAATGACTACCAAGTTCCCCTTATAACCCTTTGTTAGAGCTTAACAGCCCATAACCTCAACACTTTAGTTATTTTCCCCTCTTTCTTCCTCCATTTGGGAGAACAGCTGGTCAGGGCCGCAGCTTCAGCCGGGAGACAGACCGCTGGCCTGAAGCCCATTATTAGGAACGAGAAAGGAATGAATTGCAGAGCAAGCTTTGAATGAGAAATGCCCAAATATAGGCATTTCATGGATGCAGAGGCCAAGGCAGGGAGATGGAGATATAAACTGACCTGCTGCTGCCAATGGTGCTGCTGTTCTCTTTCTCTCCTCTTAATGTACAGCATGCAAGCAGACAGCTTTCCCAGTTTCTCTGCAGCTTTAAACATGACATGTAAGGAGACACAGACATCTATATATTTAAATAGTAGCAAAGATATATAGATAGATCTATATATGGCTCTGTATTTTGTGTGTACCCAGCAACAGCTAGATCTGGAATTTGATGTACACATTGTAAAGACTATTACTCAGTGTACTTTTTCATTTAGACCATGTCAGCTCAATCGATATTTATACAAACGTCTCCTGATTTATCGTATGTAAAATATATCAAAGTTCTTTTGTATTTCATTTTACAAATCCATGTCAGCCAGCCATGACGTCATTGCAAACATACCAGAATCTTTTATTGAAGACATACAGGCTCTGTAAGAAAGGCATGTGTAATCAGATATGACAGATAAATCTTCATTACACAATACACATGTGAGTGGCAATCTGGATTTTTTGGTTTTTATCACATTCAATTCCTTAAGCATGAGCGGTTGATATAAGCCAGTAATGGGTTTTTTTAACATCCCCCTACGGTTAAGATATGTGGATGTGTTACATTACAGGTTATGTAAGGTATTCAAACAAACTGGCTTGAATGAGTCTGTACAAAATTAAACTTCTCATTGAAGGTCAGCCATTTGCACTTTTCAGTTGAAATACATGATGTCATTATTTCCATGCTAAAATTCTGTCGTCATGTACCAGGACTCCACTGGGCCGCTGTCCAATCCTTTAATCCCTGCCTGAGATGTTTGAGATTTGGCAATGAGACACACATTCAAAGACCACCTTGACCTTTTTTTTTCTTACCTAAATATTCTTAAGTCAGGCCGCCAAGTTTGTTGTTCCCTGATATTTCTGCCATTTCAGAATTCCCAGTTTGAGCAGTTTTACAACTTACACGAATACAGTGGATTCGCTCTCCACAAATAAATAAATGGTCAAATTAATATCCACTATATAACTGATAAACTTTTGTATATTAGAATTTTATAGTTATTTGAACCTCTTATTAAGCTCATCGCACACACCCACCACACTGACATTCAGACGCATACACAAGCCAGCATGTTATATGATTGGCTTCTTATTATCTAGTGCAAATAACCAGCAAAGCGTCAATAATATTCTTAAGACAAACAACCACAAGCACTGCAGACGGCTAATACAGAGAGCCCTGCGTCACTCCTTCTCCGCATAGTCCTTTTGGTCCAGTGTTTGAGGGAGATCTCATAGTGAGGGCTAGTCATCTACCCAATGGGCATCATATGTCTCACTCTCTCCATACGCCCCACAGCTCTGTTCTTTGGCTGAGTTAAGGGGACCGTAGAGTTTAAGTCTTTGAAAACCTTTGGTGAGATGTCTCTTCTCCCTCTCTTTTATTTTTCATGTTACATTCAATCTGAAAATATTACTGCAACCACTTTGGCACCGGCACCTGTGGACAAAAACAAAAAAGATTAAAGTATGTTAGAGTGCATTGGAAGAGTTTAATATATCGATAAATCCATCTTACAAACCTTCTTCAGTTGTTTCATATGGCTTCCTCTGATCGAGGCGAGCAGTTGGTCCCTTGAGTTCTTACTTCCGCCCGGGCTTTTCCCATCCAGCTTTCTCTGCGACACGGGAGTCAGAGAGTTCCTCAGGGAGTCTACATCCAGCATGGGAGGCGGTGGAGGTGGAGGTCCAATGCCAGGAGGAGGTGGAGGAGGTGGTGGTACTGAACCTCCGGATCCTTTCTTAGGAGTCAGCTTAGGCGAAGGCATGGGGGAAGGCATGGGAGAAGGTTTAGGGGAAGCTTTTGGCGAGTTTCTCAGAGATCCTCCTCCACCACCCATCTTGGGTACGTCCAGTGTCCCCCCTTTCTTCTCCCCGTTGGCCTGAGCCTGCTTCTGCTCCTGCAGGCGCTTCTGCCTCTGCCGGTCCATGTTGCGACTCAGTATGTTGGTGGTGGTCATCCTGGGTCCTGCTAACTCAAAGTGGTAGCCCAGTTTGAGCAGGGTCGTGTTCTCCTTCAGGATCTTGGTCATCTCCATCTCAGTCTTCCCTCCACAAATGTGCCGCTGGTTTTGAAAGCGAAGCTCGGTCAGCGTGGAGTTGTATTGCAGCGCCTGAATTAGAGCCAGGATGCCCTTGCCGGTGAGGTGGTTTGAGTCGACGTTGATGCTAGTGATGGTTTTGTTGGCGCGAAGCGTTCCTGCAATGGCATACGCAACATGGTCATCGGCACGGCAGTTAGCCAACGCGAACTTCTTCACGTGGTCATTCTTATGCAAAGCCTCCGCAAACTCGATAAGCGTTTTGGTCTTGATGACCTCAGAGTTGTTGACGTTAAGCTCATCGAGGGTTGGGTCATTGCTTCTGACCTGCTCCATCAGCTCATCAAACATGCTTGAGTCTTCCTCCTCTTCCTCTTCCTCTTTGGCCTTACTGTTTGGGCTGTTTTTGGCCACACAGTTGCCAAGTTTTTCTGTTTCTGCTGCTTTTTTAGCTTTTCCCGTACCCTCCTCTTTGTCGTGCTTCTTTTCTACTTTCTTCTCTTTCTCTTTCACGTGGTCACTGTGGTTAACCAGCTCTTCTCGATCCGTTCTTTTCTCTGCCTTATCGTTCTCCTGCACCTCACCTTGCCCGGATGGTTGTCTTTGCAATTTGACATCAGGCTTGTTTTTCTCTTCTGTGTTTTTCTCTTCTGATTTACTCTCTGAAGCCGGGGGTTCTTGCACTTTGCTCTGCTTCTCCAACATCTTAGAAACCAGTCCTTGTGTCCTTACACTCTCAGACTTTCTCTCCTTTTCCTTAGTGACTTCCTTTTCTTGTTTTTCCCGCAGCTTTGAGATAATGTCTTTGGTTTTACTGTCGTCTTTTCTCCTGCAGTCTTCTCTCCTCTCCTTCTCTTTGCTGTCGTCTTTTCTTTCCTGTAACTTAGAGATCATATCCTTTGTTTTGCTACCTGCACTTTCTCTGTTTTCTCTTCTGTCTCTTGCCTTATTGTCCTCGAGTTTTTCTTTGGTCTCCTCTTTCACGTCCCTCTCCTTGCTGTCCTGCTTCCTGTATCTCCCCGAAAGTCGACTTCCCTCTTCTTTCAACCTATTCGAACCTTGGCTGTTTCTGTCTTCTACCTTTGTGTCTCTTTCACTTGAGACACTAGCTTGTCTTGGTAACACCACTTTCATGTCGTCGTTCCCCTCCTGGCTCAGGCCCATCTTCCTCAGATATTCCTGCTTACGGCTCTCCTTCTTTGGCTCACCCTGCAAGTGAAAAAATATGAGAAAAAGGTTGGAAAATTTAAACAATTGTAATGACAATTATCATGTATCTCTGCTAATATCATGAAGTATCTAAGAGTAGACGACTCTTTAGTAGCTGGCTTTCTGAAGAATCAAAAGGAGCCTTTCATATGTTTTTTAATTTTACAATTTAACTGGCCAGTACAGAAATTGCTGTAACAGACACCCAATGTATAACCCTTAACATGTGCATTATAACATTATAACAGTATAACAGCTAACCACCTAAATACTGATGCAAATAATGTGTACTGTTCCTGTCAAATAGCTCCTCGTCCATCTGTTCCCTGTAAACACACACACACCCTCTCTGTCATTACACGGCATGTGTGTGTGTTTACACTCTGCTAAAGCACAAGGAACCATTTTTTTTTTATAGAGCAGGGATACATTACTGAGTAGCTTTTGCAAAGTGTTTGATTTGTGAGTCTCCATCTGTTTTGCCGAGTGAGGCCGTGGCCCTGGCAGATGTATCCTTAAAAGGCAGGGAGCGTAGGAGCAATCAACCAAGGAATTCCATCAAGCCGGGATTAAGAAGCTCCACAGGGCCGCCACTCCATCGACTCAAGTGCCTCTTCTTTAAACACACAGACTGCGAGAAATCTGGCCCCCCAACCAATCTTTCCCAACATGTTGCAAGAAAAATAAAATGATTTGCCATGTTTCTGAGTACTTTTTATGAGCTGATGGACCCAGGGTGCATGAGGTCCAGCTGGTGGTTTGCTTCAAGCTAAATGAAAAGTTATAATTAGAATACCCCTGCAACAGTGGATGACATATAACATTTTCAGTTTCTGAAATCACCCATCTGCAGTTCATTTTTTATTAAAAATGCTCAGATACATTAAAAAAAATAATTTTTGAGGGGCATGATTGGTCTTCAAAGACAAACACAGCATTCTTTAACCCTCCTCGGCTTGCCTTTTTAGTCAAAACCTAACACAACGGGACACAGGGGGTAGGGGATAAGGAATCAAGTTAAAGCATTCACCAACCTCGAATGACTGTTCCCTCTGACTCAGCCTCCCTTTTGGATCACTCTCTCCTCTGCCGTCTTGTTTAGCATCCCCGACGTTGTTACTCACAGAAGGCTGCCCAGGCTGGCTTGCCCCTTGAACAATGATCTTCCCGTCCTCTTGGTTTGGGTCCGGCACTTGAATCATGCCCTGCAGCTCCTCCACCTCCTCAGGGGAGAGGGTGGACAACAGATTGTCCAGGTCTGGGTCCTCGCTGACCTGACGGCCAATGCGGGTCAGGCCTCTCACTTTTCTCCTTGACATGATGGTTGAACAAGAATCTGGGGTCAATTGCTGAGAATGTACTTCTTTTTGGGTGTTGATGATGTCCGAAGAGTATCCGTTAAATTAGAATCTGATTATTGTGTAAATTCTTTATGGTGAGAGGTTGAGTATTCCCATAGGCCAAATCTGGAGCCTCGCTGTCCCGTTGTGTACCGCTTACCAAAAAGCCACCGGATGCATCAATCCTGCTGCAAAGAGGCTGGACTTAGTCCTGCAGTGAGGGGGTACCAGTGATGGACTGCAAGAGCCTCGCATCATCAAAGTGGACTGTGAGGCTGGGACATTCTTGGAAATCCTCTGAAAGTGCATGTCCATATTTAGTTCAGGGTACACACTCCTTTAAAGGTAATGGGAAGGGCTGAAGTTTACAAAGACGCCAGAGCAGAGTTACACAGACTTCCTATTACACAATTCATGTTGATATTAAGACCAGTTCCTAATATTTATGTTGACAAATGTTTTACTTATATCTCTTTAAAATGATTAAGACAGTAGTTTTATCACTATTTACTTGACAAAAATTCAAATATGTAAACAGAATTGAAAGACTGTTGAAGTGAAATAGATTCAGCCTCCACCTTTACGTTTGATTTGTGATTTTCCAGGTAGATATGTATGGTTTGTAATTCTTTGCAATTATTATTATTTTTAATGCACTCATGTCAATTTTGTACGGACAACGAGTAATAATTGCTGTTTTAGATGCCAAACTGTTGTTTTTTCAGATAAGATGTAATACCCACTTTTCACAGTAAATGAATCAGTTTTGCCAAACAGCAGAACACTGCTGACATTGTCTGGAGGTTAACGTGGACATCTAGTGGTCAAAATGATGTAAACATGGATGACCCCTAGTGATCAAAATTATTTTAAACATGGATGACCCCTAGTGATCAAAATTATTTTAAACATGGATGACCCCTAGTGGTCAAAATTATGTAAACATGTATCGATTCCCTTTATTTAAAATATTTCTTTAGAATTATATTTCTTGAAAACAAAGACACAGCAGACAGTTTCCTTTTACATTCCAAAGTTAAATTTTTATGTCAATAGAAATAAAAACTTTTCACCCACTTTATATTACAACGTCATACCATCCATATGACGACAGAGAAAACAGCCATATCTACCGAGTTATTTTGCCAGCTGATGTCAGTTTCATTTTACACACTCATGGAGTTGATTTAGAAGCACAAATAGACAAAAACATCATTGAGCAAACGTTATGTCAAACTACATATGAAAGCATCTCACAAATAAAAGTCCAGTGTTCTGAAATGGCTCACAAATCTCTTCACAAGGACCTTGCAGTTGGAAACAATTTAATCTGGAAACTACCTACAGTAGATATTGTTTTGTACATTGCATTGGTTAAGAGATTAAGTGCAGCAGTATTTCTCGTGGAAAAGTTTGACTAGGTTTCCCTGACCTGCATAATCATTTAAAATGTGTATCTTATTGTATTGAAAAAATGGGATTGAACAGAATCGAGGCATAATCTATAAATCATCATATTGCTAATTTATTGTAAAGTAAATGCCTTTTTCCCATGCATTTTAAAAAGGTCACATGATAGACTATTACAGATTTCAGGCTTAGACCCAACTTGAGCACACATCTGTAACTGTTCAGTGTACATTTGAATGAGTATTCCAATTAATTAGAAAATGCACACCTGGTTTATCTGCTTTCTTGAGGAGCTAAACTAGCTATGGGATGATTCCTGCCACTGTCTGTAGATTAATTCAGCTAGCTAACCTTTCCTGTGGCAGCCTATTTGCTTGGTTTAGCAAAGGGACAGAAAATAGGAGATAACCTGGCTCTTTCTAGTTTTGTTTTTTTTAACCTGTCTCTTTATAACTTTAACAAGTTTCACAAACACCTCAAAGGCCCAGAACACTGGACTATCCCTGGAGTCTCCACTGGTTGACTATCAACCGGTGCCTGAAGAGACTATGAGACCAGTTGTCGTCCAATAAACCAGCCTTTCTTTTAACTTATGTTCAATTTTCTGATTTTCTATATATATATAAAAAAAGATATGAATTGAAATGGCAACCTATTCTCTGACCTTTGCTTTTGCACTTTCCCTGTTTCCTTTCTGTCTTAGCTGGTTGCTAAAGTAAGCTAACCCACTACGAACTCAATCTAGCGTATCTAAAACTAGCTTAGCTTCATTATTTCTCATACAAAAATACGAGATGGGTAGCCTACTCCGAAACAGTCCAGATTTTTGGCTTTGAAGCTTGTTCAGAAGTTGAGAACCAGTTCACAGTAAAAAGGTACCGTCAATAATAATGTTAATAAATGATGCCAAAATGCTAAAACGTCATATGTTACACTAACAATACTTTTAAAATAACTCGTTACAATTTCATCAAACAATCAGCCGAAAAAACAAACAGATTTACAAAATATGTATTTAAATAGTTAATCTCTTCTTCATGGTAAATTATTTTAAGGACCTGCAGCTCCCATGACCTGATATGGTACAAGAAATAAACACTTCACATTAATTTCACTTTCAAACATCCTACCTGCCGTGTTGGATTTTATATTAGGACTCATCATCAGTTATTTATTTAAAACAGGAAAAGAAGCATGAGAGGACAGATACCTTTGACTGGGAGCAGCATGCTGACGCTGAGATGTTACATTACAAATGGTGCAGCTAATATACTACCATGAAGTAAAGTAGTCGAGTCAGATACAGAAAAAGAAGACAAAAGTTCAAACAAAGAGGCGACTAAAGGCTTCTTACAAAGAATCAAGAGTACAATGAATTCCATCTGAGCAAATTTAAGACAGTGCCGCACTGCCTTTAACCACACGTGTCACATTTGTAATCAAACATGCAATTTGTTTTTCACCTAAGCCTCTACAATTAAAAACATTAAATACAGAGGTAGGGACATAATGTAATTATATTTCAATTCTTCTAAGTGAATTGTATATTTGTAGACAGTAGACCAGGGGCCGAGATGATCTGGAATGTAGCCTCAGGCAGTTATATATAAAAAATAAGAAAATGGACCAGTTAAGCCTCTTTCCCTTCAAAGAATAAAGACAGAGTGCATTCATATTCTAATAAATACCTTCTGACCACTTCTCTGTTTGGTCATGCCTGTTTTAAAGAGACCTCGCCAATGAGACGAGTTGAGATCCCTGCTGGATACTTCTTCACTTTGGGGATAGTGTGACGCTCTTGGCGCACTCGGGTGTCGGGTTGCACAACAGAATTTCATGTAATTACTGAAGAAAAGTAGGACAACATTGTAAACATATAAAATAAACAAACAAAATACCCTTAAAGTGCCTCCTGCTCTCCTTCACACGTGAACCACTGCTAGTTGAGCTGTAGCGGTTAGTTGAGAGTGTGTAGGAGAGTGTGTCGCTGCCTTCTTCATTTGAAACAGTCTTTTCCCTCAGCTGATGTTTTTCCCCCACTCTGTGTTTTCTTTGTAGACCAGCCCATCAATGACCAGGATATTGTGGTGGAGAGTAAGGTGGAGGGGCTGAAAAAAACAAACAAGCATAAAATAAACAAAAAATAATATTTTTTCACTCCAACGACCTGGGCTCTGTGTGTATTTTCAGAAATGGATAAGTTCATGAGTGTATCTTCAACTTAACTTAACATAATTGTTATTTCTGTTTCTTAAAAATGAGTTATATGAGGAAATGGGGGTCTCGCCCAAGAAGCCTGCACTGCCATGTTTTATTATGGCATCTCAGAATAGATGAACAAAATACTGAGTCTAAATCCATGCAGATGCCACTAAATCTTACACACAGCTGCATGAATGAAGTGCCAAAAAGTAGCTAAATCATTTGAATTAATCTTCAAAAAGTTTTGTAGAGTACAGCTTGTATGTTATATAGTATGGGAGAAAACTATTTGTTTACACTGGTTCATGTGCAAGAAAATACTGTATATTTTTTTCCAGACCAAATGTTGCTGTCAGAACTAATGTGGATTTATATACTTTATACTCGTACCCTGGCTGTATGCAGGGTCCATCAGGTGTGGTGGATAAGGTCCAGGCTGCATCATCGGGTAGTGTGGGGGCATACCAGGGTAATGGGGTGCCATAGGATAACCTAGATGGGGATACTCAGAGGGTCCCAGTGGTTTTCCATAAGCATCATACATGGGCTCCACTGGGTAGCTGGCCATGGGGATCTGCTGGGCTGTGGGGTCAAGAAGTACAAAGTGTTGTTAAGGAAATCTGTAACCTTATCTATGTGAACACACTACAGGCAGATTAAGAGTAGAGGGTCTTACCGTCATAAGGTGTCCGCCCCCTCTGCTGTCGTCTCTGGTAGAGGTAGCAGCAAGAGCACATGAAGCAGCACACCATGGTGGCTATAATGGCCACAAACAGGAGGATGGAGGAGGCGATGCCAGCTAAAGTGGTGGGGCTGAGAGGAGAGAAGAAAAGGGTTAAAGTTACAAAGCATTTCTTTTTTTTTGTTACTGTGGTCCTTCATCCTCCTGTAAATGATCCCCCAGGGTCACCAGATGCTGGAAAATATATCACTGAGACACTTTAATCACAATATATTATTGAGATGTTATGCGTTACGCTGAATGAATGCTGAGTAATAAAACATATTTTACTTTTCCTAACTGCAGAATACCCCCCCCCCCCGCCCAAGACTCACTTAAGAGAAGAGTTCTGCAGAAATGGCTGTGCTAGGAAACTCTAGATTCAGATAAAACTGTTCACCACAGACTGACAGTAACATCACAACAAAGCCAATAACATACCGCCCTACATCGCTCTGTTTTTCTATCAGATTCCATCACCTCATAGTCTCAACAAAGCCCTCCATTTCAGCTCAGCCCCCGCCACCCACTGATATGATCTCCCATTGGGATTAATAAACTGCAGGTTGTCTGCTCGCTGCTGGATAGTGATGGATGCTTTCCAGGAAAACTGCCATGCTGCAGTCTCTTAGGTATGAGCATGCTTAGTGGTGCACTATCTCGATCCCTCACAGGGGACACTGGCATTAAACACAACTGACAGCACAGATAGCTGATGTAATAGAACGACTAATGAGAACATATTAGACCACGGGGACCATAGCAGGGTTGTTAAGTCAATCGAAGCCAAATGAGGCTTGGAAACAGGAGGACAGGTCAGAAGTATGAAGACAAGATTTCCAGCAGAATGCAAAGTAATGGTGGATGATATTTTTAATTTATGTTCATACAATGCCCAAGGTTTTTCCCAGTGTGATTTTCTTGAATTGTGAACACAAGCTTGGACTCTTGGTGTTGAGTTGATGTATAAACAAGTAAATAAATTAAAATCCTGCTGCTCCTGCTGTCCTCACCTAAACTGGAAGAGCATACAGCGTTTCTGCTCCCTCTCGGTGATCATCTTGAAGGCGTCCAGGCAGCAGTAGCGCCGATTGCAGTTCCCACAGCAGAACGTGATGAGAGGGCAGTCAAAGCCATTGTGCCAGGTGCCGTTTTTATCCACATACCACAAACAGTCCTCGTTCCCACTGACTGCAAAACAAAAAGCATTATAAAGTGTTATCAGATAGGGCAAAGAAGGAGGAGGAGGAAGAAGCAGAGAGAGGAAGTATGGAGGGAAGGAGAAGCAGGTCAGACTTGAGTTTGTTGTCTGAAGAATTCACTTTCCTCCTGAGGATATTTTTTTTTTTTTTTTTTTTTACTTACAAACTGTTTCGGTTTCATCACACATTTAAAAGCTGAGAAAATTCTCAGCTTTTACAGATACTGCTATGTTTTGCCTTGAGGGAATATATATTTATTTTGAACATGCACTCATTCTTCTTTCTTTAAATATTTCTTATTCCAGACCAAACACAGTCGCACTGCATTATTCAATAGTTCTCCGTGTCAGAGGTTGAAAACAGATCAGGGCTAAGGGAAGGAAGCCAGCAGATTTAGAGGACTCGTGTATCTGAAACAAACAGGAGCGTAAAGTAAAGCTTTTTCACTTTGAATAAATCTAACAAATTATTTTTTCTTCTAATCAATTACTCTCTTGGAAAAACAAACCAGACAGTAAACAAAAGTTTGTCAATATTCTCGACAAATGATTTATACAGTCTGACCAACAGTCTGAACCCCAACATTTGAATAGACCAAAATGTTAGTTTAGTTTGATTTGAAGCAGGGACAGTGTAACAAAAAAAAGCATTAGTCTCAGAAGAGAAGAGATGCTTTGTACCAGATTTAGGTAACTAGCTAATTTCCATCTGTTGTCCCTGGGCAGGTGATGGCATGGGTAGAAAAATACAAACGACCAGTCATGTGTGTGTGTGTACACACACACACACACACACACACACACACACACACACACACACACACACACACACACACACACACACACACACACCACACACACACACACACACGCACACGCACGCACACGCACACGCACACACAACACACATTGTTTTGAAGGCTACCAGAAAACCGAAGACAAAACAATATAACTGAATGCTGTTTGTGGGTTACACAACACATGTATCCTATTAATGAAGGCCTATACTGCCAGAACAAATGAGTTTAAAGTGAATTAAACAAATGGAAAGTCCATCAGGAGTCAAGTGTAATCCAAGACCTGTAAAGACTTGGACTCAGCTCGGACTCATTTAGGACGATGATGACCTTCTTTGAGTGCCAGCCATGAGAACACTTTTTCATCGATTTGGTATAAACTCTCATATAAAAACGTCTATTGTAATGTAAGTGTCACAACGCCTGCCTCAAAACTACTGTTTTCACATATTTTCTTATGGTCTCAGTCTCTGCCTCTCTGATATTTATTTAGTTGGTATCTGATTAATCCAAAGAAAAGTTTGGACATCCAAGGTATTAAACAACAATTAGAAATCAGATCAAAACAAGACTATGATAAAAGACTAATTAAAAAAAACAGTAAGCTAAGTGAAGTGAAACCAGAGGTACTACAAAGAAATCTGCTGATGAAGGGAGATACATTATGAAGTGATGAAAGTCAAATGTAGCTACACTGTTTATAAAGTCAAGTGTCTTATAATTATCTTGCCTGGTTAATATTAATCCCTTAAAATACCAATACGTTGTATTTAATTTCTAAATGATATATTGGGGTTGAACTATAAACAATATTCAAATACACTTAAGAAACAGTGAGTGTATTTCACATACTGATTCAGTCTGTTCATGGTGTAGTTGCGGGTCTCCGGGCCTACATAAACAATGAGGTTAGAGGCATGAGATCACGGTAACTGCGGTGATGTGTGCGGGGCGATGCGGGAACCGGCTGGTCAATATCGTGACGGCCATGCGGGACATGAAACACGTTAAATCGTTAGTGAGCGGCGTTGCGGCCTGGATGGCGACGCGGTAATCTTACCGTGAGAAGTGCAGAGGACGATGGTGAGGAGCGCCAAAGTCAGCGCCAGGAGGGACATGTTGCCCGCTGGAAAAATCATCCCCATCCCAAATTTAAAAAAAAAAAAAAAAACAAGCGAGGGTGATTCAAAGAGGAAGCAGGTTTGGTCTGTGTACATTAAACAGAATAAGCACGCTAGCAGTCGCTATCAGCCATTATCCGGGCCCCGGGAGCAGCGCAGGAGACGGGACGGCTTTGACGCTCGGTAGTTTATCTGTTGAAATGACACATAGCGGCTGTGACGCCGCTGAACCCCGACGACGAGGCGTTACCTTCACGTACCACGGTAAACTGCGGGAAAAGTGTGTATCAACATCGATGTGTCACTCATGGACAGGAACCTAGTACTGTTATTATTATTATTTTTTTTTAAATAAAAGTACAGTTAAAGGTGAATTGTTGTGGATATATTCGTTTTCTGTAGCCCAGTCCAAGGCACAATTTAGAGGATAAGTATTTTACTTTTTATTCCTCTAAAGTAGGCTTCATTTTTCTCTTTACTCTATAGACTATAGGTTATAATTATTTACAGTCTATGCTTTACTCCATGGACCTTCTTCTGCAAATTATCTTTCATACGAAAACATACGCCACTTTAAAACACTTTTCCTAATTTTGAAGTTTAAAGATGTTTTAGAACGTCTCTTAACTAAAATCAGAATCAAGTTTACAAATATTCACATTGCTCAGACAAACGGTAGTGTACAGAAAAGTCTTTTGGCTTTTTTTTCTTTTGCAGAATAAACAGAATATTTAAAATCACCTTAACACTGTAAAACAAGAGAATATGATAACACCCTAAGAAGCAGAATCAAACATTTTGACATAATAGATACCTCTAAATAACTACTTTTTTATTTTGACTAATACGTTTTTAAGAATTCAGATTTTAATTTGAATAGAGCATTTTATTTTTGTGGCATCACATGAAAGTAAATCATCTGTATACTTTTTTTGACTAAAGCCTGTTAAATGTACAGGCAACATACAAGCATCCATACAGGACACTTAAAGAAAACTACATTCATACGGAGTAAAAGCTTCGTAATTGGTATGTTTGAGATCAAAATTGAGGTTCTTTGCCCTGGACTTTAAATAACTCTCTTGCTTGGCGTACAAAGTCGAGTAGTTTACGAGCTGCCTTGAACGCACCTTGAGAGGTCAAAGCCGTCAGAGCACCCTCTCCCTCACGCCCTGGTGGAGAGGGGGAGGAATTGTCCCAGTCTGGATCTTATTGTCTTACCAAAACAGGTCCGCATGTTTTTACAGTGATGAAGCGGTCTCATTTTCCTAAAGTGGTGGTAAATTAACAATCTCATCTTGATGGGGAAAAAATATATTCGTTTAAGGTGAAATATAAATTGTATGGAGGGGCACCAAAGTCCCATCTCTTATTGGTCTGAATACAGAGACTAAATATTTTAAACACAATTAAGTTTCCAGTTTGGTCAAAGGCTATAAAGAGCTGTTGCTATGCTTTCTCGCTTTGTTTGGGATCAATGACGAATGGACACAAAAGCTAATGGTTAACAGCATCTCTTCTAAGAATAATCAGTGTGTTATATGGTAATGTATTAAAACAGGTACTGTAGGGCAGTGGTTCCAAAAGTGGGGGTCGCGAGACTCCTTTCAAAAAAAAAAAAAAAAAAAGCAACATTTTAAATAGCATGTCTTTGTGCAAATATAAACAAAAACATAGCATCACCATTTTCGTCTGACTTTACAGTAAGCCATCAAAGTGCTACGGAGGACAAGAACATGGAAATTAATCTGGAAATATTGTCCTTCCTGGACTTTTTATTTAGAAATTGTATCTATCCCAAATTTCATCAGGTACAAGGAAATGACAAGGCTGTGAAACACCATGGGGAGTGTGAATTCCCAAATACCCACAATACCCCAAGACATGATGGCCAAAGAGCTTTTCATTTCCTGTCAGAAACAGTCATTGCTTTCCTGAAATATAAGGCCGCCATATATTTTCCCGTTTCAAAGATCAGGATGTGTTTTTTCTTTTTTTTTCTTGACCTTTCATTGTTCAATGTAAAATCTCTTGGGAAGTGTTTTCGGGGGTTGCATTTTTTTTTTTCTGTTTATACAGAAACACAAAAATAATGGGCCAAGTTACAAACAGGACATGGCAAACAAAGTCCGTTCATATTTCATGGTTCACCTGTCCTGCCATGGAGCCCCAACATTTTTTCTCAACAATCTTGTCCGGTCTAAAATGATGAGTCCTCTGACCTTCTTCAGTCTCTCACCTCTTCGTCTCCATCACTCTTAACAACTGCAAAGTCCATCCCATCACAACTACACAGAGACAGGAGAGTGATTTGTGAGTGCATGTCACAAATCTCTTTAAACCCCGTTCTTTCACTTCTGCCGTGCCAGTCTTCATGCTTTTCTTTGCCGTTTGCTAAACTCATCACGAGAACAGAAGTGATGCGGTGATAGAAGGGCGTTGTAGATGGAAGAAGAGCTGCCTTCTGGGAGCAGCAGGTGGCGCCGTTAGAGTCCTACAGACTGCAGCGTTTGTCTCTCTGCGTTGTTGATGTGACTCGAGAACATGCTGTAACACGGCTGCTGGGCGAACTGTGTCAGGAAGTCTGTCAGGTAAGCCTGGAGAAACAGACCACACACAGCACGAGTCAATTATGATTAAGATTTAAAAAATAAAAACATGTTGGTAATACTTGGGGTAATTATGGTGCTAGATTGTTCCAAAAATACAGGACAAAAATAAGACTAACAAATAGGAGAATTACAATAATATGACCAATACAAGTGATAAACTGATCATGGATTGTGTTGATCAGGGCTCAGGGAAAGCAGTGGAACAAAGAGGTAAGAGCTTGAACTAAGTCAAGGCAGAAATTCTACACAAGTAAGATCTTAAGACTAATCATTGTGAAGGAATTGACCCATTGATTGGCCAATTAGAGAGGCCCCTCCCATAGCAACTGTTGCATGGCAACTTTGTTTAGACACACTTTCGACCAGGCCAAGTCTTTCAGTTAGTCGCGGGGAAATTGTGATCTTTCTTTGGTTAAAAATACTTAGGGTGTCTGCAAGTGCGACTGAAGATACTGTACACAAGTCATTATGCAGGGAGGTTTCTTTTTTTCTCCCTGCTTAAAACTGTAGTATTAAAGGGATACTTCACCTGTTGAAACATGAATCTGTATTGACATTGGGTCATATATGTAGTAGAAATGTGAAATACATTTTGAAGTTGGTGCCTTCTTGGCCGAGAAGGCAGAAAGTGTCTTTTTGGCTCATGTGGATGAAAGACACCAAATCCCAGAATGCACAGCACCGCAGGCCACTCCCACTAAGGTCATGTTTACAGACATATTTACTTATACACATAAGGCCGTTTCCTCAACTGATTCCGAGATTTCTTCCAGAAGGAATTAGCATCTTGGAAATTCCTGTCAGAAAACAGACTCTATGTCTGTGTCCACAGGCAAACAGTGAGAGCACCGACACTACCAGTCCGCCCCAGCTCGAGCTGGCCCCAGCTCCTCGTCCTCACAAGCAGGCCTTATGTCGCGGCTGCTGAGCTGGCAGCGCCGGGCGGCGTCCAGTAATATAGCAAAATAGCTGCGAGATGGTTGCTGCCGACAGGCTGGTTTTGTTTCGCCATCTCACCGCTATATTTATATTTTTTCACCATTATCAGCTTTCTCCATAGAGCCTGTTAGCATAGCTTCCAAGCAAAATGGCGGACGTTAAGTTTCGATTCTGGGAGCGAGTTCCCACCCACTGATCTGTGATTGTTCTGTAGCTCCTTTTCAGACTCAGAAATACAAAGATGTCCCGTCTCAGGGGAAAATGAGGGCGGGATGCACGACAATTCAAAAATACTACCAGGTTTCTAATGATACAAAGCTTAATGCAAATGGGTGAAGTATCCCTTTAAGCTATAATTGATGTTGCTGTGATTGTCAAATTTTGCATAAACTCTCAACTGTGAATTGAAGGCCCTGTTGCCGACATTTAGAGGACATTTCAGACCTCTGGCTTTTCTCTAAATAAAGGCAGGCTTTATTGTATTTTCAACTAAGCGTGTTCATACTAATATTTATAGATTTGTTAACTATGTTAGCTACTGTGTTTCAGATTAGTTATGTAAGGTTTGAGAATATTTTGTCAACGTGTAAAGTGCTCTGTTTTCATTACATGTGACTGTTGAGTGACGAGTGAACTGACTGTGACAGTCATACTCGTGTGTTTGAAGTTTTCACTTGTAGTATTTATCTTTTAACAATGTAGCAACAATAATGTGGGCTTTTTCAATCATGTGCCTCAGTTTTTCTGGTGGTTTTTCCCTCCTCTCATTAATTGCTTAATTTTGTTTAAGCTATAAGCATCTTACGCTACAAGGCACAGATTGCGTTTTTGGGTACTAAGATGTTTAAGCCTGAAAAGTCCTTGAAAATAAGGCTGCACCATCGAGTAACAGTTAATCATCAGTGGTTGGAAGAGAAAAATGGCGTGCCTGCTTCTTCCTCAAAGACTAATCCAACAAGGCTGGCACCATTTCACCCTAAAGCTTCGTTATAATTAGAGCATCTTCTGATCTGATTTGACACTCTGGGACAGAAAACATTCTCACTGGTGATGACGGCTGCAACCACTCTGGAGCATATGGCTCTTATTAGAAAGTATTTAGAGCGATTCATTTTGAGGCCTCCACGTTCCTACAGTACTGTACAGCTATTGTACCCCCATCCCCAAATATACCTGCAAACGATGACAGTAAGAAATGATTTTATGCATCTGACAGCTGAAAAGTGTCGTACCCTATGACCAGCAAACTTGGACATGTTGCATTCAATTCTAGATAAGCAGACGATTGGAAATATACGAAGAGCAACATGTTGGAGTAAAGGTTTAGAGCTAGTGTACCTGCAGATCAATCTGATAAATGGGGTCTTTCAAGGCATCAGGATCATCTTCATCATCATCTTCATAATAATCATCATCTGAAACACACAAGGACATGGAAACTGTCTTTTTCTACAGTTAAGGGTACAAGCAAGAAGTCGAAGACAAACAGTATAAAAAAAAACAGCAGAGACAGCGGGGAGATAATCGTACCGTATTTGTTGGAGGCGATGAGATCAGAAAGCAGCTGCCCGGCGAGCCCTTCATCCTCCTCCTCTTCATCCTCCCCCTCATCCTCGGCATTGTCCTCCCACATACCACTCGAATCTGAGACAAACAA